AACTTTTGCAAGAACTTTCACCATAACATATGTTATGTTGATCATTTTTTGTGATCTGCAACAGTGTCCACTATGCTGGTCAGTAGAATGATAATTAATCCTAAAAAAAATTTGCTCTGCTAAAAAAAACTATTTTACTATTCAACAACCCATAAAACCAATGGCCCCACCTCAAAACCAATGGTTTTTGCTAGTATAAAGTATTCATAATGTTATGATCAAACAGTGCATATGCCAATAAATTTTTTGAAAAATCTCAATGATCATTTCTGTATTAGGAAGTGACAACAGATATTACAAAATTACAAACAAATTTGAATTCTCACATGTTGTGCGTGAATTGAAATTGTCCAGTCAATTTTGTATCCAAACAAGATTTTAGCAGAGGATGCGCAGTGAGCTTTTTTGAACTTTATTAATAATATTTGTGTATACAAAAAAAATCTGAGATTCTCATATTTAATATACAGTCAGACCTCCATAAGTGCACCCTCCATAAATGCACGCTATGTCTCGGTCCCGACCTCAGGACTTAGTGGTAAATGCACACCCTCCATACTCTGCACTGCACAGTATTTTTCGGTCCGCTCATATGAAAACTCTCTCCATAAATGCACCCCACGTGACCAATGTATAAAATTCATCATGTAACTAGGATAAATTTAGAAATCATCAACATAAATTTTGATTTAATTGGATAATTTCTAAAATATAACACAATCCGAATTTCGTAAACAATAAATTTTTAATCTTGTAATTCGTTCTTCATTCACTATTTTCTTTCATCTCATAATTTCATAACAAATAAAGGTTCAAAAATTTTTGTTATTTTACAATTTTTGTAATTTATATATTTTTATTTATTGCTTTGTATTTTTACAATGAAATTATTTATTAATTATAACTTTGTAATTATTCAACAGAAATATTTGTACATAAATTTAAATAAAATTAATCAATCCTTTATCTTTAATAAATACAAAGAATTAACATTATTACTAAATCAAGGTGAGATTAATGCTTCAAATTATTATAAATAAAAGAAAAGGAAACCAAAGATTTTGATGCAAAATCATACCCTTAACAATCTATTATTAATAAAACTGAGATTCTCTATTATTATCAAACATTGATATCAATTAATCCATAAACTGATTTTAGTAATAAATTATCATTATCTTTATTCATTACTATTTATTTATTATCATTACTTGTTTCAAAATAAAATGTCTTCAAAAAGCAAAGTAACTTTAAACAATTCCCAAAAATATGAATTCTGCTTATATGCTCATGATAATAATAAATTAGCAAGAATATGTTAATTGGATTGAGCAAAAGTGGGGGCTTAAAGTGAATGAATCAACAATTACTAGAATTTTACAAAAAAGTGATGAAATACTTAATATGGAAATTTCTAATCTAGAAGCAAAAAGACATAAGTCAGTAACTTTTCCTGAACTTGAACTTGCACTTAAAGAATTTATTCTAGTTTATCAAAGTAAAACGATTTTGAGTGATGCACTTATAATTGAAAAAGCTAAACAGCTAACAGACAGACTGGAAATTCCAAGTGGAGCATTATCATTTTCTCCTGGATGGCTCCAAAAATTTAAAGAATGTAATGGAATTCGTCAGCAAAAACTTCATGGAGAAGCACCATCAGTTGATCTAAGTATTGTTATTGATGCTTTACCATTATTGAAAAATAAGTGTGAACATTATCCACCTGAATGAATTTATAATATGGATGAAACTGATCTTTTCTACAGGTTATTATTTTTTTCCTAATAAAATCTAAGTTTAATTCTAATAATCCATGATATAACTGCCCATTATGTTTAGATTTTCCCTTTTTCTAATACTACATCCTAAAAAATTTCTATTGAAAGTAAAATTTGTTAATATTAATAACATAATTTTTTACAGGTTAGAACCAGACAAAACATTGGCTACAATACATCTTTCTGGGTGTAAAAAAAATAAAGAAAGGCTTACCATTGCTTTGTGTACTAATGCAGATGGATCTCATAAAACAGAACCTTTAATAATTGGAAAATCCTCAAAACCACGATGCTTTAAAAATGTTAACATCAAGAACTTACCTATTAAGTATTGTAGCAATCCTAAGGCCTGGATGTTAACAACTGTCTTTCAAGATTGGATTCAAGAATTTAATAATGTTATTATTCAAAAATACAATGGTCAGCATGTTTTGTTGCTACTTGATAATTGTCCAAGCCATAAAATAGGTGGTTTGGCACTTTCATATGTCAATGTTCTTTTCCTACCTCCAAATACCACTTCAAAACTCCAACCAATGAATGCAGGAATAATTATGTCATTTAAAAGGCATTATAGATGTCATCATGTCAAGTATGTACTTATTTTTTGTCTTATGATTATTGTATTAATTTTTGAGTATTTACATGATTTTTTTTAAAGATGGTTGCTAGATGAAATTGAAAAAAGGTGAGAAAATAGAAGATTTAAAAATGAATATATTGCAGGCAATAAGATTCGTAATAAAAAGTTGGGAAGAAATCACACCTGAAACTCTTCATAACTGTTGGAGACACATCAACATCCTTCCAGCTGGTATTAATGCAGAATTATCAAATATGTCTGATAATATTAGAACAACAGATGACTCAACATTGAATGAACTTTCGGAAATACTTGCCACCCTTAACCTATTTGATAAAATGCAAGTTGATGAATTTTTGAATATCCCTGAAGAAAATATTGTCTATGAGGTTCCAGAGGACAATAAAATTATTGAAGAACTTGCAGAAATATATAAAAATAATATGAATATACTTGATGATGATTTTGATGAAGATGATGATAGCAATGAACAACCAACAATAAGCCATGAGGAAGCATTAAAAAGTCTTGAAACTGTACATGCATTTTTATTACAGTAAGAAAATGCTAGTAAACAAATAAAATTGGTTAATAAAATCGAAAGATATATCAATGTAAAAAGAGTAAATTCATCGAAACAAACTACAATGGATAGTTATTTTAATATTAATTAAATTTTTAAATATAATAAATAATAAATATATTAATATATATATTTTTTTTAAAAAAAATCGTGTAACACGTGCAACCAATGAAATTGCTTCTCTCTATAAATGCACACCCTCCATAAATGCACGGTGTCCCTCGGTCCCAAGGGGGGTGCACTTATGGAGGTCTGACTGTATATATTAATTAATTAATTGGCCAAGACCTCTTTGGTTTACATTTTTCAATCTTGCATACTCCTGAATTACAGATTGATCAGTTTTTATATTAGAAAAGTCAAAATCTAAGATTCTAAGTGAATCCCAAGAAGGCACTCTGCTCATGGCTACATATACTTGACCAGGTGTGAACATATTTTCATCGATGCTGACAGTTGCATGAGGTAATGTTAATCCCTGGGTTTTGTGCACGGCATTTTGCAGAGGAAATTGTTGTCTTGATGCAGGGCTTTCGTTGATATCAAAGTAATATTTAATGCATAACAATCAATTTGATTGTTGATTAAATTAAATGCTAATTAAAAATTGTCAAAAATAAATTTCTTTCTTTATGTTAAAGGTAACTTGTAGTGTTTTTTCTCATATTATTTTAATTTATATTAAAATGGTATAAAAAATTTAAATTTAAGGACCAATCAAATTTCTTTATTTATGAAAAAAGTCAAAATCTGATTGGTTGAAATGAATTATAGCGTTAACACTAACTAAATAAGAAGTAATAAACATAAATGTAACATCTATATTTTTTATTACAATATGTTTATTTAGAAAGAGTTGGTTCATTTAGTTGTGTCATAGCAAGTATGATTATTTTGAGTTGTAATAAGTCATATCCAAGTTAGATAATGCTCACATGAAATTGTGTTTAATTTTTTTGGTGTAATAAAGTTAAAACTTTAATTTAGTAAGCAATTGATTGGTTCAGGTTGTTAATTCAAATTTTTTAGCGAAGCAATAAAAAAACATTTTAATTCTCAAATGAATTGGACTTTTTTTATTAAAATTAAAATTCATGAATAATTCATGAATAATTTCCTTCCATATATGTAAATAATTATTTGCGTAACAAATCTAATCATTAATTAAATAAAAATAAAAAAATAAAAATAACGTTAAATTCTATGTTGGTGTTATAAAAAATATGAGGACGGCCATCCCATTTATATGTTTTGAAGTTAATGAAATTGACTATTGTTTTGACCTAAGTGATATGATTTTTTTACTCTTTATGATAAGGAAGGTGCAATCCAAATCAAACTTAACTTTAATAGATTTTGGTTCTTGCATAGCGCAGCATGTACAATAATAATAGTAAAAAAGAAAAAAGCTCCATGTTGCGTTTTCAGTTGTGAACTTGTTAATTAAAAACATATTAGTTAATAGTGATCTTTATCACATTAACTAAAACCAAATCTCTTTCTGTTCACTTGGAAAAAAAGATTTTATTATTTTGCATGATAAATGGTAAAAAACGTTTATCACGTGGACAAGGCATTCAAATTTCAATTTCAACATAGATCATCAAGTGTATCGATATCAATTTCATAAAAATAAAAAAATTATTTTTTGAAATTTACTACAAAAAATTCCTTCCCAAAAAATTAAGTTTGAAAAACAGTGATTTTTCACTAGCTGCTCATAGCGCTCACTATCTTGCTGAGCTCTGCAGAAAGAAAGAAGAAATTGCTATCACTATTAAAAAATGTGTTGAAAATTGTAGAACCTCAGATTTTCCAAAAAGATGTTTTTTTTCTAAAAAAAGAATTCAAATCAGCAAATGATTATCGCTTCTAAAACTCTCTAAACAAAAAAGGATAACGAAGCATAGTACCAATGCTAACTAATTTCTTTCTTGCACTAATAACTAATAACTAACTAAATAAATATTACATTACTATTAAAGTTAGTTGCAACACCGTGATACCATAATCTTACATTACGGGGTGCCAACTCTAAATTACATGTCAAGGCAGCATGACTGAAACAATTTAAATATGAAACATTTGATTTTACAGATGTTAAGGCACGCACACTACCTTGAACACATTACAGTCATTCTCACATGTTCCTTGTGTAGAACATTGTCAAATATTATTACTTTACCATTATCATATTTAATTCATTAAAATATAACATTTATGAAATGGTTTAAAATTTAAACACAATTACCTTGAAATAGAAACAGCATGAACATGAAGAATGAAAATGAAATATTTAATAATAATAATGAGTTGTTTTTGCTATTTTTAATTCTTGTTCTATGCATAAATAAATGCCTTCAAGACCTCTTTCAAATTCAAATTCTAATAATTCTCACTTAGTTTTAATAAATAACTTCATTAATACTGGATCTGACTTCCTATTGCCTAGGTATATCCAGATCAGTCAACAATATCTATGATGCAGTTCAAATTGTTAAATTAAGACTTAATAGACTTTGTTTGGCATATCTGCTTTTTCTGAAATGTTAAATTTAAATATATATATTTTTTTAATTATTTTCAAGAGGAATAGCCTCATATAAAGTTAATTTGGAAGTTATTTTGTGAATTATTATATTTACTTTATTCTAATAAAATTGTATGAACAAGATATTATTATTGTTAAAGCCACATTTGTGATTGTTGATTTTTCTTTTATTTCATATAATGAATGATGTTGGTAGAAATATCATTTGTGGAATAACATCACTCTGATGAGAATCCTTTATTAATAGAATTCAACATATTGATGTTGTATATTTTCTGATAGATTAATAGTAAAATGTACAACTTGATTACATAGGATGATCAACATCCAACTGTGTTTGATTTCACAGTCCTGAGGAACTTTCTTCAGAGTATAGACTAACTCTTGAGGAGAGCATCAAATATAAAGTGGTTCTTCAAACTTAAAAGTATTACTGCAGCTCTAATCACCCATATGTGGCATGCTGATGACAAACTTATTACAAGAGTTGGCTTTTTTTCATACATGAACTGTCACACATTCTGTTAATTGATGTTTCCCCATTTTAAATAAAAATATTAATATTAATTGATGGAGTAATTGTAATTCAATTGATTTAATAATAACAATTATAATAATAATATAACAAGGAACAATTAAATTTTTTATAATTTAGAATTTTTAGAATTATCTTGAGCATTAGGATTAGGATTAATCCAAATTTTAGCAGGCCTAATTATAAAAAAAGGTATTGAATGAATTGATAAAGTATTTATTTGTTTATTTAAAACAACTCATTTTCATTCATAAATTACCTTATAATTTCAGAAACAGTAAAGCTTTTATTTTTACTTAATCTTCTACAAGCCTCTATTCTTACCACGTCTCCTAATTTACATTTTTCTTCTTCATCATGTGCAAAAAATTTTTTGTGTTTTGTAATAATCTTTTGATGAAAAAAATTTTATAAATAGAAAATTTATTTTTATTTATTTATTTAATAATGATAATAATAATGACCTTTCTGACTATTGGATGGGTAGCTTGTCTTGCCACATTCACTTTAACAGTCTTACGCATTGCTGTTCCTATCACTATACCAACAAAATTTTGACGGGCCATTATTTTATTTTTTTATAATAGAACAATCGTGTGTACATTCGATGTAATACAAAAACTTTTTGAAAAATATAAATATAATAAAAATGGATTTAAGTAATAATGATGATGATGGAAAAGTTTTAGACGAAACTTCTAATGCTGCCACAATTACAATCGATGATGATGATGACAATAATAAACCCTCTAATAATAATAACGAAATTGAAAAGAATGAAAATGAAAATGAAAATGAAAAAAATGAAAATGAAAATGAAAATGAAAATGAAAATGAAAATGAAAATGAAAATGAAAATGAAAAAAATGAAAATGAAAATGAAAATGAAAATAAATTTGCCAAAGGACTTATGAATTTATTTAAACCGTTAATTGAAGAAATGGATTCAAGAGTTGTTGCAGTGAAATCTAGTCAAATCGAATTAAATAAAGAAATTGAGCGGTTAACTGCAGGTTTGGCATTAAGAATAATTACTGACTGCAAGTCAATTTATATATTTTTAGCATAATATTAATCAAACTGTTCATTCATGTTGTCCAGAACTTCAATTGTTTGTTGAAGCAACAAAACCACCACAAATCCAAACTTCTATTCAAAAATTAATTGATGCAAGAAAACGTTTACTTATTACAAACCAAACTCTGAAATTAGTTCATCATTGTATTATTAAAATGCATACACAACTTAGTAAAGAGAAATCATAAATTCTTTAAATATAAAAATATATTTATTTAACCTATTTATTTAATCAACAATTTGAACTAATTTATATTTAGATTTTCCAACTCTTAAAATGCAAACAACACCATCAAAAAAATCATTAATTTCAATCAAATATTTCACATCTTCAATTCTAACATTATTCAAATACAATCCACCTGATTTTATTACTTTGTATGACTCACTACGTGACTTACATACACCTGATAATACCAACAATTTATCTATTGTACTGTTTATCACTGAGGTTTTTGATAGTTTAATTAGTTGATTCTTGTTATTTTCAAATGTTGATAATAATAATTGAGAATTTATTATTTCTGGAGAATTAAATAAAATTTTTGTTGATAATTTTGCCTCATTTAAACCTGATTCTTTTTTAAAAATTAAAAAATGTCAATAATAATAATATTAATAATTTATTTAAATCTAAATAACACTTACTTCCATGTACCAATTCTGTTACTTCAGATGCTAATATTTCTTGTCCATAATGAGTTTCTGGTGATTGCTATATTAAAGTAGATATATATTTATATAAAATAGTATAAATAAATTTATACAAATATCCAGATATATATGTATAGGACTTTTCAATGGAAATGAACCATACTCCCAAAAATGCAGTTTTGAGTTAGATCACCATTATATGTGTAGGAATTTTTTGGCTTAGAAACCATGTATACTCACTTTGCATGATGATATTTTCAAAATCAATAACAAAAAAATTGCTAATTTTTCTCAAAAATCTATTTTGTAAAGCATGGTTCATTTTTACTGAAAATCATTTATATGTATATTTACCATATGTTTTTCTATAATTTTTTTAATTTCTGTCAAATCCAAAAGTGTAAACATTTGAAGATATTTTTTTAAATCTAGATCAGTTACTTTCATAAAATACTGTTTTAAAAAAATATGTGAACATAAATATTAATTATCCATAATAAATATAATAATAGTGATGATGATGATGATGATGATGATACCTGATAAAATTCATAAGGAGTTGTCAATTCATCATCTAACCAAATTGCATTACCAGCTGATTTACCAAATTTTTCACCAGATGAAGTTGTTAATAAAGGCATTGTTAAACCAAAAGCAGTTGATTGTTTATCAACATAAACATCAACATTATTAATATTCTCAGATCTCTTTTTATTAATTAAATCTATCCCTGATGTAATATTTCCCCATTGATCACTTCCTCCCAACTTTTATAAACATACAAGTAAATATATGTAATTTCAATAACAAAAAAAAATATTTATATTGTATTTATTGTTATTTTACCTGAATAGTGCAATTGTGTTTATGATAAAGATACCAAAAATCATAAGCTTGTAATATTTGATATGAAAATTCTGTAAAACTTATTCCTCCTTCATTTTCCATTCTATTTTTGACGCTTTATTTAATTATTTATTGATAATGAATTATTAATTGATTAATTGACTAATATGAAATATTATATATCATTGATATTTATATTGATACCGATATTGATATGGACTGATATTGATTGATATTGATATTGATAGATGATTTTTATAATGTAAATTTTTTTTTACCTTTCTTTCATTAACATATTATTAACTCTAAAATATCTCCCAATATCGCTTAATAAATCTAAAGCTGGCATATTCTTAAACCAATTGATATTATTAAGTATTAAAATATCATCATCATTTTGATTATTATTATTGAATTCATGTCCATATTTTTTTGCATAATCTCTACTATTATTAAAGATTTTTCTTGTTTGTATTTCAATATAATTAACATTTTCTTTTATTGTTGATATTGGTAATGTTTGTCTTTCTGATTTTCTACCTGATGGATCTCCAATTAATCCTGTTGCTCCGCCTATCTTTTTTTTTTAAAAAAAATATTATATATATATACAATAAAAATATAAATTATTAATAATAAAAGTTACCAAAGCTATAATACGATGTCCACAAATGTTAAAGTGTAATAATCCAATTAAAGTTAATAAATTTCCTAAATGTAAACTTTTGGCTGTTGGATCTAACCCACAATAAATTGTCCTTGGCTTATCGATCTTATTTAATATCTCTGGACTTTTTAATGGTAAAAGAAAAGTTTTTTAATTTAAGAGTTAATGGGTTAATTAATCATTATTATTTATATGAAGTTAACCTAGTAATATTATTTATCAATTCGCGTTTTTTTAATTCTGAAATTGGATTGATGTGTAAAAAGATTTTGTTTTTTATAAATGTTTTTTTATGTAAAGGGAATGTATTTTCTTGGAAATTTTTACAATAATTATCTCTTATAAAAAAAAAGCAATATCTTGCTTTTCTCATATTTATAACTGGCCGTCAAGCAATGTAACACAGAAATTTTTAGATGGATTTATACAGAACCCTGGAAATTTTTTACTGGGATCCTGAAAAATTCGATCACCTTACAACCTTTCATCCCGATTTTATGGGCAACTTATCAGCAATTCCTCTATATTGCCGAAGAAAAACAAAAGTTGATGAATGTAATGCAAGAAGATTCAATATTGGTAAAGAAAACAGCTAGTGTGGTTGCCAGT